GATATCGAATCTACGTCGATAAGATGTGTTAACGAGATATTGCATTTATGCAAGGTTGTTACATCACACAGATGTTGATGTCACACGATGGTTGGCTGGGGAGTTGCCCCAGACCAGATAACTTTGGAACCGCCACATCCAGTATATTATAGGTTTGCTGGTCAGTACTGTCAGTATAGATCCGTGCTCCGAAATATTATATAAAAAATTGTGCTGGAATTCGGAACACGTTTTCATCAGTAATCAGAAGCAGTTGATCAGCTGGTGAAATGTGTCAGTTTGTCAGGTTGTCACTTGGTTCTTATTTTATCTGGCCATTTATTTAAATAACAGGCTGATATTTAAAATGATATTATTAATTTATCATAGATAAGACAAGACTTAATGTTTGAAAAACAAAGGAAATAAATGTTACATTGCTCTCCCCTCTAAAGTAATGACAGTTCACTGAAGCCACAGTCACACTACCTTTTGATAGTCAGCGAATCCAGCAGAATATTGAGTCGAAATATTTGGAATGAATAGTCTGTGTGACTAGTATATCTACATATCTACTCACAATTTTCTGTCACTTTCAGTAATTTTTGTTTATTTCAGAATGAAAAATCAGCAGATTCAGTACTGTCCGTTGTCAGATGTGAAGTTCACAAAAACTAATTTTTCTTCAGGTTTCACCAAAATGAAGCTTTTTGAGTAATCAAACTTCCATAGTATTGCTTCTAAAGTGATAGAGTTTTTAGGTTGACAACTTGGAGTCCCCCATTTAGCTACAATCTGATGATTGTTATGAATTCTCATTTTATTTTGGTATACTTTCATCGTCACCTACGGTTACTAAAATGTTGTTATTTCAATCTAGAAATCACAGAAACAGTAATCTTTTGACAGCCTTTATGAAACTAAAATGAGTCTAGTTGACAGTTTATAGAAGCTCAAAAAACTATTGAACAAAAATTGTTTTTCCTTTTAATGATTCACAACAACTGTGAAACATGATTGATATTTTGGTATGCATTTAACACTTTTCAGAATTTGTTACGCTCAATAGTCGATTTCGTGCAATGCCCAAAAAAAAGCAAAACTAGTGTTGAGCAACGAATAATTCCTAAACCGAAATTTCCATTGTATACAGTACGAGCCCTTCTGCATAAGAAAGAAGAATTTTTTTTAAACAATCAAATCTAACTCGGTCTAAATGAACCTTCTCCCTAAAAAATATATTCATTCAGAAATGTACAGAACTAGTTTTGTTCATTTCAAATTGCTCTACTCATTTTATAATGCTCAATAACCGTATAAAAGTACTGTTAAAATTCGGGGTTTAGGAAATATATTTGTAGCTGAAAAAATGCCTATTTTTTCGGGCATCGCCCAGAATCGACTATTGAACGTTAACACATATAATAAACTAGACTTGTACATTTGTATATTTTTTCATATTCAGGCACATTGCAAATGTGCGCCTTATAAATTATTATTAATTTAATTATTTCAAATGTATATATTTTGAGTTTAATGAAGTATATTTTTCTACAAAAAGTTGCTAGTTGTGATATTTTAAACACCTAAATAAATATTTTTGTCCATGGCTACTTGTTTTATTCACAGTACCATTGCACTTTTAGTGTCTAAGGGCTAAAATTGAAGTTTAACTCCTAGAATCTAAAAAAGTTTCGAAAGGCTGAAAGGCAGCTGGTATGATAGCTGCTTTGTCACAGACATGTTCAAGTGAGTCAAAATGGTGGTATTTTCACTTATATTTCATTAATCAGATATCAATTATTTTGCTTGCAGATAAAATAATATGTTTCATTCGAATCAAATGTGACTCTGTTTGACTCGCAAAAATATCGCTTGTCAAACTGTCACATTTGATCCTAATAAAACAATGTACTATTTTCTGTCTAGATGAAGTAGAAAATAATGATTACTATCTGGGCAGTTGAATTTCTTACTTTATTGCCGCTATAGCTGTAACAATAATTTTTCAAAAATGTTGTAAGCAGAATAGAAAACTCATTATACAGGGTGAGTCATGAGGAACTGTACATACTCCTATCACGAATAGATGCCCCTGAGGGTAATACCGAATGAACATCAGAAAGTGTTTTCTTCACTTCTTTTCTAATATATAATGATAATGATAATTTATTTTATATAAAATTACAAGAATTTTACACTAGTCACAGATACACTTTACAATCTAAACTACATCAGGCACTACAATAATATAAAATAAAAAAAGTAAAGTAAAACATGACACACGAGAATAAATCCATGGTTCAAATATCAACATCGAACTCGCATGTACAGGAGGGCATGTGGAGGAGAAACTCCTCAACTGAGTAAAAACAATGTAACATCAGTATATCACGTATTTTTTTCTTAAATACTGAATAAGTTGAACCTTTATAGCTGTGTGGTAGGGCATTATAGAGCTTAGCACTAATATATCTATATGAATTTTGTGTTTTCTTAATTCTACAGAATGGTATATAGGGTGAATTATGAGATTTGGCAAAAACATCTTTTGGTCATAACTTTCCAGTCTGATTTTTTCATGGAATATTCCGCTACTACTCTCTAATCGACTGACTTATTCAGAATCGGGAAAATCCAGCACCGCTCTTGAAAAATTTTGATAGTCTAGTTCTAGTTCATAGCAAAAATCGCAAAAAAATCATCCTGTATATCGTTTTTGTGAACTGTGACAGGGAATTTTCAAAGGTCACACACAAACATCAGAAATAAAATATCCTAAATTTTCCTCATACTTTCACTGCAGTCTGAAAATAACGAAACGAAAATTTGGCAAAAAATGTATTTATTTGGAAATTAATACTTCGCAACCCATGAATTTTACGAATAAAAGTGAAACTTACATTTTCAATGCTTCAGCTCAATGGAAATCAACATATTATTTTATTTTCAGGCCTGGATTTAGTAATTCAATTTTTTTGTAGAGGATAATAATCACCCTGTAGATCTTTTTCGAACCAGTGGATGGGGTATCTGTGAAAATGTTGATGGTCATCGCTAAAAATAATTTTATGATTTCAATTCACAGTTTTATCTATTCGATTTGTCTTATTCAGTTAATTTGGTCACTTATTTTCCGTACTAGAATTATTATCCGCCTTTGTCAGTATAGCTTTTGCAAAATAACTGTGAGTAAACCTTCATTTTCTGTTCGATTATCTTGAATTATTTGAATCAATGACCATTAACATCTAAACAGAAACCTCATCCACTGATTTGAAGAAGATCTACAGGGTGATTATTACCCCCCACAAAAAATGAAATGACGAAATCCAGGCCTGGAAATTAAAGAAAATGTTGATTTCCATTGGGCCAAAGCATTGGAAATGTAAGTCTTACTTTTATTTGTGAAATTTATGCGTTGCGAAGCTATTATTTTCGAATGAATGAAATTTGTTGTCAAACTTTCGTTTTCGCTTATAATTCATCGTTTTTTGAAAAATTCTGTGAAAGTGTGAGGAGAATTTTGAATATTTAATTTCTGATGCTTGTTTGTGTGCTTTGAAAATTCCCTGTCACAGTTTACAAAAACCGTATACATGATGAACTTTTTGATAAAAACTAAACTATCGACATTTTTGAAAAACGGTCCTAGATTTTCCCGATTCTGAATAGGTCAGTCGATTAGGGTTTAGTAGAGGAATATTCCATGAAAAAATCAGACGAATCGAAGGAGCTGTTGAAAAGTTATTACCAAAAGATGTTTTTGCCAAATCTCATGATCCACCCTATACAGGGTGTTGCGAAATTCGACCGATAACGCTTGACAGGTCATAGCCTTCGTGATTTCATAATCACTGAGATAGGGACATACGGTCTCCAAGGGGTTCAGGTCTCGAGATGGGCGTTGAAGTTGAGAAATTAAAATAGTTTTTTCGTAATATCTCAAGAAAAATTGAATATAATGCATTCAAATTCGGTATATGGTTTCATCTTTCAATGGTTCATTTTTTTACCAGGAAGACATTCCGAGTATTTTATTCATAGGTGCGCTAGAGGGGGTTGTGATAAATTTTCCTCCCATATTTTCTACGCCACTGACGAAATTCCGATTGATTATTTCCAATTTGTTGAAAAGGAATATTCTCAGGAAAATTATGAACATATAAAAATGGATATATATATTTATATGAAGCAATTGTTCAATAATGTTGAAAAATTGCACCACCTTCAATTGAGCTAAATAAATGAAGAGTTCTAGAGATGTTTGATCCAAAATAGAAGTTTGCATAGTAATTTTTCATCTTCCTCAGTCCTCACCAGTAGAAAATTACAAAAACATTTTTTTTCTTTTTATGCGTGGAATAACTATTTCTGCTCAGCTACAGAATGAGATCTGAATAGTATATCTGATCTACTCAACACCAGAGAAATATTTTCATAATTTTCTACTACTGAAAATGATGAAATATTACTATGTAATCTCCTATTTTGAGTCGAACATCTCGAAAACTGTTCATTTTAGCTCAGTTGAAGGTGATGCATTTTTTGAACAAAATTGAACAATGAATTCGAGGAATTGGAAATAATAGAAATTTCATCAGTGGCGTAAAAAATATGAGAGGAAAAGTTACCATCACCCCCTGTAGAGCACCACTGGATGAAATGTCCGGAATGGCTTTCTGGTCAAAAAATGACCCACATCCAAATATGAAACCATATACCGAACTTGAATGCATGTAATTCAATCATTCTTGAGATATTGCGAAAAAACTATTTCTATTTCTTAACTTTAACGCCCTGTATCTCGAGAACTGAACACTTGAAGACCGAATGTCCCTATCTCAGTGATCATGAAATCACGAGGGCTATCACTTGTCAAGCGTTGTCGGTCGAATTTCGCAACACCCTGTATATTGGTAAAGACGGGAAGAAGACACTTTCTGATGGTTCAAGTGCCTCTATTCGTGGTAAGAGTATGTACAGTTCCTCATGACTCACCCTGTATATTTTCTTCGCAGCTATTTCAGATTTCAAGTCGGATTTGATCAAGGTCGACTTGCCATCAGTCCAAACCAATATAGTGATGATCAATATCAACCTCCCTTATTCGGAAACGAGGAAATTCGTTATGAGACTGGCGGAGGTGAGAGAAAGCGATCCAGTGAAAGTCAAAATCAAAATTGGGATGCGTCAAGATGGGAAAGGAGGAGGTTTTGTAAGGCTGGTGACTCAATGGGAAGTGACTAGTGAAGATGTGAATTTGGCCATTTCGAAGATTGGACTTGTAGTGGAAGAATTTGAAAGCAGAATTTCTAGTAAATTGTAAGGCTCGAATATGGGTTGGATTTAACCCCTATTTATAGCTCAGTAGTAGAGTCAGAGAAAAACTGCGTAATTGATTTTTTTTCTAGAGTATCTCCAGAGATATTTACCTATAATTTATGTATTATTATTTATTTCTTACTAAATGAGAAAAAAACGTAGCGTTTCTTGTTCAATGTATCAGCCCAGGCAACCAGACGAATGATCACGTCACTGTAACGTCCCTAATTGGTGATTTTTCGTCAAAGACGTCACACACCAATTTATAACGTCACTATGACGTACTTTCTATGACGTCATCGATTCGACGTCGAGTGAACGTCACTTAGCTGGGTAAAAGAAGACGTCAGTTTCATGACGTTGCAGGGACTTCCTGTCGACGTCCATTTTTCCCAGACCTTCTCTAAACCATCATTGATACTCATATAATATCATGTAAAACAGAAGTATAACTCATGAAAGCAAAACAACATGCAAGTTTTATTCTAATTATTTATATACCCGAAAAGTAGTAAAACACTTTTTTCTAAAAAACTTAGACACACTGATGTATATCTCGGAAACCAACAAGCTATGTATATATAAAAATGATTGTTTAGGTATACCTATATTGAAACCGTTACTCTTATGACTTTGCAGTGACGTATCTATGACGTCTAAAAATCACGTCGGTGTGACGTCAACTACTGAAGTCTTCTTGGTCATTCAATTGACGTAAAAAAGACGTCACTGAAACGTCATCTGGTTGCCTGGGAGGGTGGCTGGATAATTCGCAAGCCTCATAATTGGGATGTTTATCGTAAACCTTAAGAGATACAGAGTTGGTTTAATTATGGCGATGTTGCCTGACAAAATTCCGATTCTTAACTTGGAAAATTCCGAATACTTTTGGAGATAAACGAAAAAACCGATATTTCGTAAACCCTTGTTTATTATTTTCCCAACTCGAAAGAAATTTATTGAAATGAATGACACTTTGTTCCGAGGTTTCGTCTTCCAGAAACCATCATCAACACACATTTTTCAAATACGGGCCTGGATTTTTAATTCAATTTTTCCACATCTTTGGATCCCAAAAGCTATGAAATATCACAAATTTTCATTATCCTAATTCTTTAAAAAACTTGAAAATTATCATTGTACAACAATTTTTGTCAAAAAAAAATTGTTTAACAGATTGCGTGCCACGTCGTTCAAATGTGAAAGACATCTACTACTACTATTTCCGCAAGGGCTTCGTCGTTCATATTTGAAAGACAGACATCTGTCACTTTCTGACCGTGTAAATAAAAACTGAATGACGCTACCGTGCATTTCAAATGGGGAAACTCTTGCGTGGCGTCTGGGAAAGTATTGTGAATCTTAGCTCGAGGAAAATTGGAATTATTAAGATTTGGTAGTACATTATAAAATATATAGTTACTCAGATTGGTCATCATAAATGCGGAAAAAAAAGTTTTCAAATATTTTTTATCTGAGCTATTACAAAAATAAAAAAGCATTCCTATTTCAGAAAATAATACCTAATCTATATTAGAACAAAAAAAAGAGAAATCAGTGATTTTCATTGATGAAAAAAGAAAATCAATGTTTTTCATTGAAACACGATGAACATATTTGTGGTCGCTCAGGACACTCTAACTAAGTAGGTATGTTTAGTTTTCGAACTGAGGACCTGCAACAAGAAGAAATCATGAAAAAAAGCGTCTTTCAAATTTGAATGACGTGGCTACAAGCACAAAGTCTAGGTTTTTTGCCTGCAAGGCCACGTTTTTCATAAATGAGACATCAAAACACTAATTTGTTGGTTAACAATTATTTATTATGGTATTGAATGCATCAAATATTGCGAAAAAGTATAGTGTGACCCCTGGCGTTAGTCTTCTGATTATAGCTTGGCAGGCAATGTTTAAAAAAAAATGAAATTTTTCGTTTTTTTTTTCAATATTTGAAGGAAACATTGGAAAATAAAAATTTGTGATAGCTGATAGCTTTTTGGATATCCAAAGGTGTGAAAAATTGAATAAAAAATCTATGTCCATATTTCATTTCGTTTGATTTCTTCAAATAACTTGAAAAACAATTAGAAAAGTTTTTAGTAAACTTCGTTTTTTTTTCGTATATCTCGGAAAGTATTCGTAATTTTCCAAGATTCGAAACGTCATTTTGTTAGGCATAAAGTTGCGCAAATTTACCGTAACTCAACCGACCCTGTATATCTTATGGTTTACGAGATCCCAATGATGAGGCTCGAATTCCAGCCAACCTGTATAGTAGATAACGTTCAATGTATAGTAGATAACTAAGTATTATTTCATCAAAATTGAATGAGTAGGAGAAAAAATCTATCTCAAAAACTGTCTGGTCATTTAAAAAAAATAAACTGCGTCCCTCAACGAATCCTGTACTCCACAAACATAAAGAAAAATACGATTTTTTCAAAATAAAACTTTATTCCTTTTTGTAAAGTTCAAGAATGTCAGTAGTATAAAAAGTTTCCCTATGAATGAATATGTATATTCATTTTTAAGTTAATAACATGTATAAATATTTACATCTAGTTAAATTCAATGATCATTTTACATTTGATAATCACAAGTTTACAGATAATTTTCAATAATTCGTCGCTGCAATCATAATTTATACATTACAGGATATTGTAAAAATATAATGTGTACAATTTTCTCTTAAAACCTAGTTAGATTACTCATTATTACCTCCAAAACAGGATGATTTCAAAACGTTTGGTCAATATTACAGCAGCTTGTAGTACCGAAATAAGAAAAACATCCTATTTGCAAGTACAGGGCTAGTTATATTGATGTGAACCCCTCTTAACCTTTTCTGTTTTTCACTCATCAAGAAAAATGTTATACAGTTATTTTTCATATAGGTTCCAATCATATAGTGACAGTGTTGCAATATTTCTTCAAATATACAGGTTAAATGGGGAAAAAGTTGCGCATTCGGAGGCTCATACCAACAACCTTCGAAAATTTTCAAATTTTTTTTAGTTTTTCAGTTATATCTAAAAAAGTGAATTTTTGGAATCTCTATTTTATTTTTTTTTCTCCGTTGTTATTAGAGATACAGGAAAACTGAAAATACTTTTTCATAGCAACTTTTGATGACGTTTAACGTGGTGATACCGATTTTTCTATGCGACGTTTCGTATTCGTAGAACCATCATCAACTTTTGTTTTTTAAATACGGCCCAGATAATTCTTTCACAGATTCTGAAAGCTTTTTTTATTCTGAATTCAACCATGTATTATACAAGGTGGTTTGAATGTTTTTTTTTTTCGAAATTCCAAAGGAAAAATGCCATCAGTTCAACTTATTTTGAAGGAAAATGAGCCAACAAACTAATACCTCATCAACTAGTTCCGATTGATAGACTTATAGGAATAATTAGTTCGAAAAATTTAATTATGACAAGCTCCTTCGGATTAAAATATGAATACAATTCATAAACAATTCGAAGCGCTGCATTGAATAATTTAGTGGATTTTTTTTCACTTTTCAGTATTGAATAACTAGTCCATCAATGTTTGACACTGAATAATCAGAAATAAGTGAAACTGATGGCATTTTTCCTTTGGAATTTCGAAAAAAACATTGATGATGGCTAAAAATAGTTCGAAACACATTCAAACCACCTTGTATAATACATGGTTGAATTCAGAATGAAAAAAGCTTTCAGAATCTGTGAAAGAATTATCAGGGCCGTATTTAAAAAACGAAAGTTGATGATGGTTCTACGAATACGAAACGTCGCATAGAAAAATCGGTATCACCACGTTGAACGTCATCAAAAGTTGCTATGAAAAAGTATTTTCAGTTTTCCTGTATCTCTAATAATAACGGAGAAAAAAAATAAAATAGAGATTCCAAAAATTCACTTTTTTCGATATAACTGAAAAACTAAAAAAAAAATTAAAAAATTTTGGAAGGCTGTTGGTATGAGCCTCCGAATGCGCAACTTTTTCCCCATTTAACCGACTTCGTATCTCCTACCGTTTCCGAGATCCCCATGCTGTGCAACCTTATCTTGGACAGACTGTATTTGAAATCAGGATGAATTGAGGAATCCAAATCTATCGAAATATACGGCGCATTTCATACGAAAAAAATATATTTTTCTCTATACCCTGTATATTAGAGGAGATATTGCATCATTGTCAATATGAGTGAAATCTGTATGAAAAATTGTATAAAATCAGCTCAAATTTTTTTTGAATGAGTGTGAAACAAAAAAGATAAAGGGGGGTTCACAAATAAAACGAGTTCTGTACAATCAACATTTGCAATGTTGGACAAATTTCAATAGCATGAAATAACATAAAATAAAGGATCATTTTCTTGAACAATTATTATGGTATTTGAAGCTAATGAAATATTGCTTCTTGAAGCACCCTGCAGAGATACATTTATCAACCACAAAAATAGGTGATTCTTAAATAGAAAAAAATCAAGAGAGCAATCGGAAATCTGACAATGTTTATCCAAATAAATGAAATACCTGAACTCATGAGACATTTAAAAATCACAATAATTGAAAAATAATAATGTCAACTCAGTACATAAACAACAAAGTACATTTTTAATTTCAAATCTATTTATCATTCCATACATCTGTTTATTGAAGCGAACTCTCATAAATGTAAATTTGTAGTTTTGGCACTGAGAATGTATCAAGATCACTCTTCAATCTCGGAAAATTTATAAAAAAAAATCAAAAGGATTTTTTTATCAGAGGCTCCAAATTTCCTACAAACAATTAATGACTGATATACAGGGTGGGCCACCAGTAACGCCTCGGTCTCTAGAAGGCTAACCACTTATCTTCTTGGAATTCTTCCTCTCTAGGAAGTTGCATGTCAACATAGGCTACCATTTAAAATTATTTCGAAACATACAGGGTGTCCCCAAAAACCACAAAACACCTTCGAACACCCTATATATTATTTCATTTTGAGATTCTCCCTGATGAGCTGATTTCAA